TGGCTGTCGTCCCTCCCTCTCACTTTCCCTCCCTCCCTCCCTTCATTTTTTCCTAAAAAATGGAAGAGTCTGTCTGGATAATAATGGAAAGAATCCAGCAGGGAAGGAGAGGCTGAGCATACCAGAGGGGGCAGATTAGGAGCAGAGTTCCTGACAGAGCAGGAAAGGAGGGCATCTAGGCACAGTCAAAGGACCTGGTCTTCATTGAGAGGACTGGAGAGAATGGCTGGAGGCGCAGGGAGATGTAGAAACATGACGGCAGGACGTCGAGGGATGTCACATCCCCTCTGTCCCACCCCGACCCACACAGGACTAGGCCACCTTTCTGTCTTCAGCTTCTTTCTATAAAATTGGCCTATGGCCGGCCAAGGAGTGGGAAAATGAAAACCAGGGAGACCATATCGAACTCTCTACCTCCCAGGGCAAGTGCTTTGGGAAATAATATACAAGTAAGTTATCATCATTATTACTATTACTAATTGTTGTGATTGTTTTTCTAGGTCAACACTGACCAATAGGACTTTCTGCAATGATGGAAATGTTTCATATCAGTTTCAGTCACTATGGTAGTCACTAGCCACGTGTAGCTATGGCATACTTAAAACATGCCTACTGCAACCGAGGAACTGAATTTTAAATTTTATTTAATTTTAATTGATTTAAAGGTAAGCAGCCACATGTGGCTGGTGTCTACTGCATTGGACGGTGGAACGCGATGTGTTTTCTTCCTCTGTCTCAATGTGGTTCTTCAAAGATGTCATTTGGGGCCAAGAACCCTGGACTAAGGAGTCAGACCAGAGTTCAGTCTCAGCTGGGCCCTTTCTGGCCTTGGTGACTTCGGGCAACTCTCCTCCTCCTCTGGGCCTTAATGCCCCCTGTTTTCTTCTCGTTAGTGGGGAGATGGGAGGGTCAAATGAGCTAAGGGCGTGAAAGACTGTGCTCCTCATGCAGCGGGGCCAGTTCACCTCCTGTTACCAGGTGCCTTTTGTGAGAACCGCACAGCACTGGGCCGAGGACATGCTCCTCAGACGCCTCCTCAGACAACCTTTGACAGCCCTGCCTTTCCTGCTGTTGGCTGCTCCCTTCTCTGCAGGCTATTCAAGATTATTTGATTAATGTACATCTCTCCCACTGACCTCTCACCCCATGAGGGTAGGGCTGCATAGCTGTTTGCTTGCTTTTGGATCCCTAGGGACTAGTACATAGTAGGCTCTCTGTAAATGTTTGTGCAATGAATGGATGGAACAGGAAGTGCCAGTGTTTGAGTTTAGGTGTGATTTCAACACTCACTGAGCTCTAGAGCTTTACGGGATCTGTTACCTTTCCCTATTTATAACGGTGGAACTACTGGAGAAGAGCCACATATTTAACAAAAGGGATTGGCTTGATTAAATGATTCTTAAGATACAACATTATGCAGAAGAGTATTCAGTGACATAAAGAGGTGTGTTTACGTTATACTGTAAGTGAAAAAAATCAAAACTGAAGTTGTACTATAATCTCACTTGGTAAAAGTTATTTATATGCATAGGAAAAGTTGGCAACAATAGATACAAATATTAACAGTGATACTATTGCTGGGTGGGATTAGGAAGTAATACTTTTATTATTTTTTCCCTAAAACATCTATTTGATTTTTTTTTAAAATGTATTTCATACATCCAGTAAAAGCAAAAATAGAGAGACAGAAGGTAGATTAGTGGTTGCCTATGGATGGGGATGAGAATGGGGATTAACAATAAATAGATATGAGGCATTTTGTGGGGAATTTGTAAAATGTCTAAAACTGATTTATATTGACATTGTTTTACTTGGTAAAGTTACTAAGTCTTTGACTTGTACACTTGAAATGTGTGAATTTTATGATTATTAAATATACCTCAATAAAAATTGTAAAGATGCATTATACAATGAGATCTGTCCAGAAAGTATCTAGCCATGTAATATTAAAAATAGAGAGATTTATTGAAGAAGATACAAGGAACATTGTACACAGGACAATGACGCCTCAGTCCCCTTTAAAGTAGGCACCTTGGGGCCTCACACAGTTCTCCCAGAGTCTCTTCCAATGTTCAAAACACTCTGCAGAATTCTTTGTTGGAGTCTCCATCAGCTGCCTCTTCGTATTTTTCTGAATCTTATTGATGGTCTGAAATCTCTTCCCTTTCAAAGGTGATTGTAGTTTTGGGAAAAGCCAGAAGTCAAAGGGTGCCAAATCTGGGCTGTAGGGAGGCTGAGTCACCTGCGTGATTTGGTGTTTCACCAAAAAACTCTGCACGAGACATGATACATGAGTGGACGCATTGTCATGATGAAGCTGCCAGTCACCAGTTGCCCATAGCTGTGGCCTTCTGAATCATCCAAATAGTGTCTGTGGAGGAATGTTTAAGCTTAACACAAAATTTTATGCAGATTTGTTGCTGTACTCAGTCATTTTGAATGCGATGGCCACACAGTATGCATGCTCACTCAACAGTGTCTACCATCCCCACTGTCTAATACAGTGAAGTTGTCATTGTTCATGCATGCGCATTTCAGTCCATTTCCCTTGGCTTCCAGGTTATATCAATGTTGCACAAACCTTTCTTATTGTATCAACAATGGCTGGACTTTTGCCCTGGCTGGTGTGGCTCAGTGGCTAAGTGCTGGCTTGCGAATCAAAGGGTCGCTGGTTCAATTCCCAGTCTAGGGCACATGCCTGGGTTGCAGGCCAGGTCCCCTGTAGGGGGTGCGCAAGAGGCAACCACATTGCCTCTCTCCCTCTTGATATTTCTCTCCCTCTTTCTCCCTCCCTTCTCCTCTCTAAAAAATAAATAAATAAAATCTTTGAAAAACAAAAACAATGGTTGGATTTTTCTGGACAGACTTCATCGTGTAGGTAGTCTTAATAAAGATAAAACAGAAATATTTAAAGTCTCCAATCCCACACCCAATTCTACTTTCCAGGCATAACAGTAGTAATTGGCATTACTCCTTTCTAACCTTTTTCTATGCAGAATCCAAGAATTAGATACACATTATAAATACATAATTTTCTTCAACCCTCTTCTTTCTCTGGACATACATTGTAGGACATGGAAAAACTTAACAGTAGATGCCCTGAGAGGTGGGATTAGGGGTAGAGGGAGTTAAGTGGGGAGTCAGGTAGAAAGGGAGAGGCACTTGAAATTCTAATTTTCTTTACTTTTGTATCCTTTCCATGATTTTGTCAGGGATGTTTAGAGTTATAAACTCAACAAAGATATTGGAATAAGAGATAGCATTGAATGCTTAATGCTGTGCAGTCTTCCTGTTTAAATTTTTTTTTATAATTTTACTCAGTGCCAGGCACCACACTGAGTGCCTGAGATATATTGTCTCATTGAATGCTTGTAACGATTCTATGAAGTATGCGGTGTTATGGTCCTACTTGATAAATGAGGAACCTGTGACCTAGACTGATTTTCTGAGGTCCCACAGCTGGTGTGCACTGGACCCAGACCTTTACTCCATGGCCTCTCTCCTCCCTCTGGCAGAATCATGTTCTTTCTACAAAGCCCAGCTTTAATGATCTCATCTCATGTACTTGTGTAGTGCCCCCTAACCCACTCAGGTAGAGAGATGACCCTGTCCTCAAGGTGCTTACAGTTCAGGGAGGAGACAGACAGCTGAACAATTACAATGTTGCACCACAGAACACGTGTTTTAATGGGCTATGTGCAAAGCAAAGGAGTTGTCAGACAGGGTGTCTGAGGCAGCCAAGGAGCTCCTGAGAATGTTCCGAGTTGACTGATAAGAACCCCAAGGACTTTTTTAGGAGTGTTAACAGAAAAGTGTGGGTGGTGGGAGGTGAGGAGAGGGTGTAGAAAGGGATTTGGGGCTCAAAAGGCTCAGAAATGTTACAGACCTGGGCACTCCGGCAACTACAGTTGTGAAGTTCTGTGCAGCTGCAGGGTTTAAAATGGCCTGAAGGAGGGGCAAAGGGAGAGATGGGCACCTTTAAACTTAAGGCCAGATCACCAAAGCTTTGTAAGTTGAGTTAGAGTGTTTACACTTTATTCTGTGAATGGAGCAGAAATGTTAAAATATTTGAATCTGGTGTGTTAGAAAAAGAGGAAGGGGCCTGGAGTGGGTTGTTCTTAGAGATCCCTCCGGGACCCCTAGCTCTCCCAACACTGTGTGGTCAGGTCATTTCTGCCCCAGGCTGGGAATTCCTTTAGGGCAAGGACTTGTCTCAACCACTTTTGCATCCTAGCACCCAGCACAGCACCTGGCATACAGCAGGTACTCAGTAAAGGCTGAACTGGCAGAATGTTAGGTGCCACGAATGTGCTGGCTAGTGACTCTGTAAATAAAAAGCAAGTCTTCCTATCTTCCTCAGAACCGCCTGGTAGTGATCAGCCAAAGTCTGATCCAACTATAAAGAGGTCAGAGAGGCCCTGGTCCCAAACTCAATGCGGGGTGGGGGGTGGGGGCTCTGTTCGGGAAGGAAGGAGAGGTGGTTACTTAGTAAGCTGCAACTTCTTTTCAGCGGCTGCTGTGCACTAGGAGAATTCATACCTATTGTCTCTTCAACAGTTCTTAAACTGGAATCATTGTCTCAGTTTCCCCGACCAAGAAACTGAGGATCAGAGTGGTTCTGTAATTGGTCAAGGTCACACAGCTGGTAAGTGTAAGAGGGGCGGAGGCTGGGATCCAACCTTTCAACAAGTCAAAAGCCATTGGCTTCCCCTCCTCCACCTGGGGAGGCACTGTGGCACCTGCTCCGTTTGCATAGCCGCTGGGGTTGGGGGGCACCCCGCTCTGGGAAGTAGGGACTTGGAACCGGTTCGCCGCGGCGGCCGGGAGCCGCTCCCAGATTCAGAAGTTACGAAGTTTCCGTGGTCTTCGCTCGCTTCCCTGCGCAGCTCGTCACCGCTCCGCAGCAGCTACGCCGCTAGCGCAGCGGGGCTCAGGTGCTGCAGCGGGCGGGGGCCTGGCGCAGGGAAGAAGGCGGGGACGCAGTTTACGTAAGCGTCCCCTCACAGGTGCATGCAGCCGCCATCAGCGTGTGCTCCCTGCGCGTCCCCAGGTGCGCCGTTGGCGCAGGCGGCGGCGCGGCACCGTGGCAGCGGGCGCTGGCCGGTGCTCTCAGGTGCGGCAGAGTGCGCGTGGAGGGGGCGCGCGGCGAGCGAGGGGGCGGGCTTTCCGTTCCCCAGCAGCCGCGGGGCCCGCCCCCCGGCCCGGCCAATGGGCGCGCTCGGCGGCGTCACGTGCCCGCCGCCGCTGCCGCCGAAGAGGAGACCGGAGCCGCGAGCGCCACCAGGGCAGCAGCCGCCGCAGCCGCCGCCGCTGGGTTGAGGAGCTGGAGACGCGGGCTGACGAGGTGGCGGCGGCGGCGGAGCGGGAGCGGGGACCGGGCGCGGGCAGAGCGCGGCGGCGCGGGTAGGCTGCGGCGGCGGGGCAGGCGCCTGCGCGGCGGGCCGTCCCGGGCGGGCGGGCGGGCGGCGGTTAAGGCGGCGGTTGAGGCGGTTGGCGGAGCCGGCCCGGGCCCCGCATTGTTTGTTGTGCGTCCTTAGCAGCGGCGGCGGCGGCCGGGGAGCAGAGCGATCCCGGCCCCCGGGGCTCCGGCATTGTGGCCGCCGCCGCCGCCGCGGCGCCCCGGCCGCCTCGCACAAGGGCAGCGGGCAGCCTCCCTCACCTTCGTGGGGACGGGGCGCCGGCCCCCGCGAGGGGAGGGTGTGGACCGTGCGGGGCGCCGGCGCGGGGGCCTGGGCGAGAGAGCGAGCGCGGGGCAGGTGCTGGAGGACGTTGGGGACGGGGCTGGGGGCGCGGCGGGCGGGGGCGCCCGGGGGCGCGGTCGGGTCTGCGGGGGACGCGGGGTGCAGGGCGTCCCGCGAGCGCCGGGGCCTTCGGCCGGGCCGGGCGTGTGCGCGAGGGACGGAGGGCGTCCCGGCGGGCGGGGGCCGCGCCCGGGGGTCGGGGTGGGCCGGGCGGGCGTGACGCGGAGGGGAGGCTGGGGATTCGCGGCCCCGGGAGTGGGGGACGCGGGCGTCCCGGCCCGGGCTGCGCGTGAAGGGCAGGGGTGGGGGCAGGTGCGGCGGGGACCGCCGGGCGGGCGCGCGGGGAGCGCCGAGGAGGGGTCCGCGCGGGGGGCCGGGGGGCCGGGGGGCCGGAGCGGCGGGGAAGGGGAGGAGGGAGGGCGGGCGGGCGGGCGCGAGGGGTCGCCCCGCGGTGGTGCGGCCGCCGAGGGCGCTGGGGAGGAGGCGTGTGCGAGGTAGGCCCGGAGGCTTGGGCAGCCCCGGGGGGAGGCGTGCGGGGAGCCCCGAGGGCGGCGGGGCGCTGGGCGGGCCGGGGACGGACGGGGCGCCCGTGGGGGGACGGGGCAGGTGCCCGTCTGGGGAGGTGCTGGGGGGGGCGGGCGGGGGCGGGGAGCGGCCGGAGTTTGAGGAGTTTGGGAGGGAGGTGGGGACGGTGGGGCAGGTGGTGGGGCGGAGGGAGGACGGCGTGTGGGCCGAAGGTGAGCAGGGCGCTCACGCAGCGGCAGCGGGACGAGCGGCTGGCGTGGAGGATGTCCTCGCTGGGGGGAGCATGGAGGGGGTCCGGGAGCAGAAGAGGGCGACTTTGGAGTGGGGGTCGTCGGCGGGGACGGGTGGAGCGCGCGTGAGATGGGGGGGCCTGAGCGGTCGGGGTGATGTTGTTGGAGCGGCAGGTGAGCCGTGGGGACAGGTGGAAGGAAGAGTTCCTGAGCGGGAGGCGTGGGGGGAGTTGGGGAGGGCGAGCGGGGTGGTGTGTGTTTAAGGAGATGGGCGGCGGGCGGCGGCGGGGCAGGTTGCGGGGGAAGGTGCGCGCGCCTGGAGGACGGCGTGCGGAGGGAGCGAAGCGCCGGTTTGGGGTGCGGGATTTTGTCTGGTAGAGACGAGCGGGCCGGCAGCAGCGGAGGGAAGGGAGGGAGGGAGACGAGATACGTGGGGGGAGAGCAGGTAGAGGAAGGCGTGGTACCTGTAAGGGGCTGAGGGAGGGGCGAGGTGGAGAGGTGTGTGGGTCCGTCTGTGGCTAGACCCGGGTAGGCTGTCTGTTGAGTGGGGGGTGGGGGTGGGGGAAGTAGGATCCCCAGGTGAAGGGCAGAAATGGCTGCGCAGGTGAAGAGAATTAGGAAAACAGGTTGCTTTAAGAAGTGGGGAAGGAGCAGGGTGCTGAAGTGGGGGAGAGATTGGAAAACTTTGAGTCTTCAGAGATTAAAGAGGCCAACATTCAGGTTGCTGGAAGTATAATGAAGGGCAGAGTGCAGAAGTTGGGAAAAAATCTAAAGGGAGGGGATTAAATCGTAGGTTTAGAGAAACTGGAGAGTGTGTGGATCGTGGAATGACGGCAATGGAATACGGAGGACATTCATTCTTGTACCGCATCTGGAAGTTCATGCTTCTGGGATCAGGGAGATCATGAAGGCTGGTTTCACTTCCAGAACCCAGTGGATGAGGAAGGGATAAGCGAGGGCTGAGGACGCATTCCTGGGTTTGGAGGAGGTGGGTGGTGGGGTATTGTACTAGCACATTGCCCTGATGAGTGAGCAGATAGAAGAGGCAGGCAGGGTCAGCAGGAGTACGCTGAGTGTGAATAGAAATAGGATTGCAGCAGGTGTGGGGCAGGTGGTTTTGTGACGATACCGCAACAGAGCAGGGCCCCTGTCACATCAGGAACATTCAAGGGCTGTGTATTAGGGAGGAAGGGTTGGATACCTTGGTGCAGTGTCTCAGATATCCTGGTGCTTTTTGGGTAACAGGGCAGTTTTCAGACATTGCGTGATGTAATACCTGAGTCCTGTTCTAGAGGCACACGCCGGTAATCAACACATCCAGCACCCAGAAGTGGCAGGAACTTTCCTTCAGGATGTGAATAGCTGATCTTGGGATGTCAGCTTTTTTCCCCAAATAGTTCAAGTAAAATTTAATTGGAGGCTTTTGGATTTTCTGGTATTTTGATTTGAGTTGGGGAGTGTAGTGTTAGCTTTACTGAGGAAAGACTCATCTGGGGTTGTGTCGACATAGGGCCATCGGCTTGCCAAACACATAGGAAATAACCCTTAAGGGTTTGAGCACAGACTTTTCAATGCAGATCTCAATCAGTGTTGTGTGGCTTGTGTTAGATTCTTTGAGGTTTGGAAGGATTAAGGAGCTGCTTTGAGACTTTGATTCTAGGGGTTTTTAGACTCTTGGAAAATGATTTCCCCTTTGACAGTTGAAAATTCAGTCTTGTCAGATTTTGCAAAAAAATTTATCATGTTGTAGAAATAACTTCAAGTAGTGTAATGTGGTACCTAGTACGTTTCAAATAAAAGGTCTGCTTTGGTGCATTGGGAAGCTTTCTGGGTTGATTAGCTTTCTTTTGTTTAGGAAGTATTTTAATGCAGCCATTATAAGTATGTTCAAATAATAAGTTTGAGTGTAAGTGGGAATCTTGTCTAAACCTAATGAGGGCTGAGCAGAACAGCACATTTTAAGTAATTTGAAAATATAAATAAACTGGAAGCTAATAATTTTTGAAATGCAAATTTGAAGTGTATTATGAAGGCAGCAAAATAATACTGTGAAGGCACTGCTGTAAGATTTCATTTTTGGAGGGAAAAGCTTTTAGGGTATAATATGCCTTTGACTGAAACTCTTAGCAGTAGTCTAGGGCCATACCACCCTGAATGCGCCCAGTCTCATCTGAAACTCTTAGCAGTATTTTGCGATTTAACATATGTAACAAATATAATTACGAGTAGCACGTCTGGTCTGACCCCTTTGGCTCCCTGGCAGATAATTTGAGTAGTTGGATATGAGATGAATAGAGTGACCTTTGAAAATTCTGTCCAGTGTGGCTTTTGTTTTCTCTTGTGTGTTTTAAGTTCATTGTGTTCATTTTAATGATTTGGGGCAAGCAATACTTTCTTCCTCAGAATACTCAATTCTGGCATAATGTTCCGATCATATGTATTGTTCTGTGAAGTTCTGTGGTTCGAGATAGTTGTAGGCACTTCAAAATACTATGCTGTTTATGAACCAAGGAAAGAAGGTTATTTAGATTTTGTAGGCTAAATAATTGGGTCTGGTTTTATTTTCACTGATGCTTGCTGGACAAGATACTTAATCCCTTTGTGCTTGTTTCTCCTCCAGAAACCTGACTCTCTATCTACCTCCCATGAGAATTGAGATGGTTTATATAAAACAAGTTTAAGTCTTTCAGGTAGATTAGAACTATGTAAAAATGGAGAAGAGATGTTACTTCTTTAGTCTCTTTTTTTCCTTTAAACCTGGTCAAATAATTAGTACTTCAGATTTTGACATTAAATAGGTTAATTTGTAGCGAGGAACTTGGATAGAGGTGAAACTTGTGTGACTATCAGAGATGTCTGTGAATTGAACTTTGTTCATTCTTTCCTCTACTGTCTGCTTACCTTTCCTTGCTCATTTCTGCAGCCGACTGTTGTCTTTCCGTTCTTGTGTAGAGCAGAAGCTTGTGACAGACATTCTGGGTTCTAGCTGTAGCCCAAGATTATTTCTAAGCCTGAACTTCCAGAGACAGAGTATTTCTATCACTTAGTGAATTCAGTTATTAAATCAGGCATAATAAACACAATATATTTTTCTGTGTATTTTGCAGAAAAGTGATTAATTCTGAATGACTAGAACAGAAAAACTGCTATCCCCTCTAGTGACATTAAGCCCCCTTCTTCAGATTTATTGAATGCTTTTTCCCTTGTTAAGTTTTAGTTGTTAAATATTACTCATCTATTTGATATTTCCAAGCCCATTGACAGGCTGTGCTCTATTTAAGGGGGAATGAATTTTAAATGCTTTTTAAATGTTGTTTGGTTTATTAGTTGTAAAGAGCCTCCAGATGCTGGTGACGATAGATACTGCAAAAATGTAAATAGTAAGTTGCTTTATTAGACATTAATTTGCTTGAGCTTGGTAACACACTGCCCTGATAGTTTTTCTGTGCCAGCTGATCTACGTACTCCTACAGAACACGTTGTGGACACCATTACCCATCTCTCTGCTCTTCTGCTTTTCATTCTGCTTATTGGAAAACTGGATTGTTTTGAAAATTCGTTTAGCTGTGGAAAAACTTTCTGACAGGTAGTTATGAGAGGCTTTGTAATACAGTCTAATTTTGTAAAACTGTTTATTGAGAGATGTAAGTTAAATTTGTGTCAATCAAAACAGAAAGGAATAATGAGGCCCGATTAATGGTGTTAAAATATTTATTTAATAAAAGTATTTAAGTGTTTGAGCCAGAAAGCTCTGCAGATCTTTAACTTTTAGGTCTTGTGTTGAACAGTGGGGTGACCAGATGACCTCATTGGTCACTCTCATGCCTGGTTTGAGTTTTTCTTGTCCTGAGGGTCACGTGTTTCATTTTTGAGAAGTATGGTGTCAATTTCACAAAAGACAGTATAGATATGTGTTGCTAATGAATGAAGCAGTCCTAAATTTTAGTTACTTCATATTCAAATTCTCTTAACTTCTGACATAACTAACACTATGTGGAACGTCTGCTTTTGTTAACTTTAGCACACTTCAAAAGGGCACAGTTGATTATATCAGTGATAAAGTCACAGGATTGCATTGTGTGACTTCATGGTTCATTTCCATTTGAAAAGTGAGAATTCTGCAGCAGGTTGTGTAACAAATCCTGAGGTGTTTCTGGGTCATGGGTAAGATGTAGTTTCTTACTGCACCTGCAGAATCTCCTGTTCTTTGCAGTTTTCCAGGTGCCAGAGCTTTTCACAATATGCTATTGAGCAGATCAACATTTTGTTTATGAATTGAATTTAACCATATTAATGCTATTGACATAAAAGAAATAGTGTTTTAAAGTATGCTTTTTAACCTGTTTTGCCAGTTTCATCCAGCAAACATGCACTGACTTTAGGCTCAAAGGTGTGTTATGTGCCAGACCTGAGATTTCTTAGTAGGGCTCAATATATATATATATTTTGAGTGAAGAATAGATTATTCTGTAGGTAGATAGGCCCTTAATGTGAAAATGAAGTCTATAACTTTGATCACCTGTGTTCAGTCAGCCTAAATGAAAAGCAGTACATTCTAAGACAGCTGGAAAGGTGATCTGATAAAGAAGTGGTTTGTTTTTAAAAAAGTTAAGATGGAGGCAGTTCATTCTTACGATGTTTCTAATTCCAAGTAAGTCTGAAATTCCTCAAACATTGCAAGTAATCGTAGGCTTTTGTACAGCTTAGGCAAAGAGCATTTTAACTTAAGGAAGTATTAGATATTGACTGGGTAGCTCTTAATTAAGTGACTTTAGACAACTTAGTTTTAGTCAAGGAAAGCTGGTGAAGTAGGGGAGAAAGGTGTTGCAACTTTGATAATGTAGGTTAGCAGCTGGCGAGTATAAACATCTGGAGCCCTTAGTATGCATATTTTCAGTTGTTTTTGGAGTAAGCTGTAAATAAGCTTTTAATGTCAAGGTTAGCATGGAAGGACAAATTTCAAACATTAGTGATGAGGCTTTTAAAAACATGGTATCTTTAAAAGTATTAACTCATGCTTTCTGATATGCCAGCTTTGTGGTAAATGTGGAACTAGACAAAATTGGCTTTTGAAATTAGTCAATATTATTGTTTAGCAGTGTTCTTTATTGCTAGAGCTCAGGGTTCACATACCGGAACTTTAGTCACTATGACAGCTATGTAATGTAGGGGGATAACAGAGTTTTACATTTGGAGAAATGGAGGCACAAAGACTTGACTCCAGACCAGAGTTATACAGGCTTTCAGAACACCCCTTCAGGAGTTGTATCTCAAGTACTCATTAGTCCCTGAATGTGGCAAGGTAGGTTGATGGCTGGGCACATTTGAAACCTGCCTCTTTGAGTTGAGCCCTTGAGTATGTACAAGTCATTTCAAAGACTGACAGGAAAAAAGCCTGTCCTTCCTACGAAATTTGGTCCTAGGGTTACGCAATAGCAAAAATTCTGAGGAAAGTCTCTTTATAGGTATGCCCAGAGATGACCCTGTGTAACCTTGGTCTCTGTATTGCGTAGTAGAAGAATGTTTTGACACTAGAAGACTTGGCTTCTTGGAGGTCTGATTCTACTGTTTACTAGTTGTAGATCTCTCCTTCCTCGTATAAAATTGGAATAAAACCTCTAATATACAGAGTTACAGGGAGGATTAAAGAAGATAAGAAAATTGTAAACTGTGAAGCACATAACATTTTTTTAAAGGGAGGATTGAGCAGAAATTAAGTGTAGGCTTTGAAGTAATTGAACTTAAAAGGACCTGGGTTTTTATTTTTTATCATTGCATTTTCAAATGTGCTTAAAAGAGAAATGGTACAGTAAACTTTCACATACCTGTCAACTCCACAGCAGTTACCAGCACTTGGCTATTCTTTCATCTGTTCCTTGCTTACAATTACTTTTTGTTGTTTTTGCTGGAATATTAACAGCAAATCTTGGGCATCATATACTTTCATCCATAAATACTTCAATATGTATTTCTAACAGATAAGAACCTAAAAAATAACTTTTACCCCCCCACAATGAACAATTTTTCTAATCCTCAGAGGAGCTGTGTTTGAAACAGCTCTACAACTCATCAGGTTTGTGTCTTAATCAAATTACTAGCTCTCGCTGAGCTTCTGGTTTCTTATCTGTAACATAAAGATGATACCTTATGAATTTATTTTGAGCTTAAATGAAATAATATATAAAATGCTTAACATGAAGATTCTCAGTAAATGACCCAGCCTGTCTTCTGAGCCTTCTAAGGCATGTGAGTAAGAACTAT